ACAACTACAAGTGTTTCAAATTTTGAATGATTTTAATGATATTCATAACCAAATTGTCAATGAATTTAATTATAACAGTGATGTAACAGGAAGTGAAGCCATAAAGGATCCTTACACAAAAATGTCCAATTCATCCTTCCCGTCTATTATCGTAAACTTGATTCAGTGATTGTGTTGGTGCTATGAATGATCCTGTGATTATTATGGTTGTTTCAATTAAGGCCCCGTTTACACTAATCCATTTTCACATGTAAACGGAGACTTTTTGATTCTGATACAGCTTATATTTACACTAATACATGAAAACATATCACCTAATGACACCTATCCGAAGCAAAATGTAAATGGATACCAAAGTGGATAATATTATAAACGAATGATAAATCTTATGAAAACGCAGCTGCCGGATTCATTGAAGTGGATTAGTGTTACTAGCGTAAACGGGGTCTAAGATGACAAATAAACGCAATTCACTAACCATGGCCGGCCAAACTCCACTCCCACGCATTTATGAATCTGTAGCTGTCAAATAAACGCAATTCACTAACCATGCATGGCCGGCCAAACTCCACTCCCACGCATTTATGAATTTGTAGCTGTCAAATAAACGCAATTCACTAACCATGCATGGTCGGCCAAACTCCACTCCCACGCATTTATGAATTTGTAGCTGTCAAATAAACGCAATTCACTAACCATGCATGGCCGGCCAAACTCCACTCCCACGCATTTATGAATCTGTAGCTGTAAGGTGGAGCTCTGATTCTGTTCGAGCATAAATAAAACAGAGTTAGAGGGTGACGTCACACTAAAAGAGAGTTAAAGGAGCCGCTGGAATGACTGAAAGCAGGATGTGACTTTTTTTTTTGCAAGGAGAAGGTTATCTGTAATTTCGACAGCCCGACTACTGTAGCAGCTAAGACATTCACTTTACCTAGTCCTAGGCCAGAATAATCAACTCAGAGATTTAGTAGCGGTAGTGAGAAATGGCGAGGCCTATCCCTTGCTCCAGTTCCTACGACTGCAATACTGCTACCCGCTCCCTCTCTCACCAAGCTGAAGAGATTGACAATGAAGACCTCTCTTCTTTATATTCAAGCGAGCCGATCACTGAGACAGTGCAGGGAGACCCAGAGCATAGCTCCTTCGTAACTGGAGTAGCTGCTAGAGCAAAAGATCAAGTGGAGAAAACTATCCAACTGGTAACTGGAGTAATCGCTGAACACAAGACTCTGCACCAGTACCACGGGCTAACATCAGTTGGTCCGAAAACCTCCGCTCAGGCTGCAGCTCCAAATCACTGACAATGTACAATGTTTTTTGTAAGATATTATACTTATTGTAATGTGATAGTCTTGTAAAGTGATTCACTGATTCTACACTTGTCTTAAATAATTAATGGTGATTTTAATGTGTAATTTTATTAATTCTAAAATAATGATCATTTAAAATTTAAATTTGAGAAGTGGAAGCACATAATATCCCTAGTTTAGGATTGAAGAAAAATGCAACATGACTGAAAAGGCTTATCCTTTTATTGTATTTAAATGATAAAATCAACAAGAGGACATCAGTGTAGCAATATGTAAATGCTAAGAGGGAGCACTTACTGTAATATGGTCAGATATAAAGTCAGGACCTAGCATGAGGCAAATAGTCTTCAGAGCATTCTCCTTCTTTGGTTTACCAGCTAAAAATAACAATAAAGAGACACCCTCCCCTAGCTGTCCCCTCTCCCTCCCCTC